GGGGGGGGGGGGAAGAGGAAGGCGAAGAGTCGCGGGTCGAGGACGGAGCGCGAAGCTCGACGGTGAACTTCGCCGGAGAGCTCGAGTCGCAAAGCGTCAACTTGACTCTGTCGTCTTCTCCTCCTTCTTCTCTTCTACTTCTGGGTAGCGGTCGAAACGACCGTCTGGCAGCCGTTTATCAGCAATTACAGCACCGTTTTCGACTATCGTCGCGCGGGTACTCGAGATAACGAGAGGACGACGACGGCAACTTGACCGAGGCAGGGACGTTTACGAGACGGAGAACACGAAGAAGATCGAACTGGTGGCGGTGACGAATGGCGGCTGCTTATATATAGCCGCGCTATCGCCCGTGCTGCCCCACCATGTGCATCACCAACACACGGAGGAGTGATAACGCAGCTCGTACATCGTGTACACATCGATGGCCCCTTGCGGACGTTTTGGCCTGAGAGGAGCTGGTGTCAAGCCGATCCGAAGACGGGGCTAATTGAACGCCGTTATAAAACAGATGGTCCGCTCTGCGTATGCGTTTTGGTATCGCGACGTATCACCTAATCTCATAAGCGCCCCTCCTTCACACTCCTTCCCCCCCTCTCTCTCTCTCCCTCTCGATTATTTTAGCCGAACGTAGCCGTAATCGCGAGCTTTATCGTGCGGCTTTATCGTTCGGCATTATAAAAATAACTTCGATTTCACGCTAATAGTATACTCTCGACCTACTTAATCTTCGAACTCGGCGAGCGCGCCGGGGGGAGCTAATAACCCGCGGCAAATTCCAAGAAGGTGGGACCAGGGGGACGTGAGCGAACAAATTACACTTCTTCCGCGTAGGGACCGACCTTGTGGCGGCTCCGGAACGAGAGAGCGTATCCCCGAGAAGCAAGTTCGCTCGTTTATTCGCTCGACTACTCGCAAAAGCTCTCCTGAATCGTCCTGTAGACGATTCTGTTGACCAGATGAAGATCGACCCGCGCTGACCCGCGAGAGAGACCAGGACAGATAGATATGTTACGAGCGATACAGGGTCGCGTTCTCTCTCTCTCTCTCTTTTTCTCTCGTTGCGTTCTACCTCCCGCGGAGCGATTGGGAATTCGGTGGGCTCCGAGAGAGACGTCCCCGTCGCGTCCCCCTCTGCTTCTCCTCTCACGTGGCCCGCTGTTGATCGCGACCTTACCGCGGCTCAGTGCGCGTTCTCTCTCCCGGGGACCAAAGTCCTCGCGCTCACACGCGTATCTCTATCTGTCGAGAACCGGCGACGACGGCGCGGTTGTTATCTGCAGCGTATTAACGCATCGGCGTGAATGAGCGAGCTGAGTCAACAGACGACACCAGCCGTGTCATTTCTTCCCGGTGGGCGAAATCACGCGCTCGCGAAAATGACGACAGCGTCCCTGAGTGAGGATCTCGGCCGGCTCCTGCGGTCCGGGGGGGCCCCGGTCATTAGGAAGTGCTCGCTCGCACGTCGTCGTGCTTTCGAAAGGCGCGACCGACCCGCTGAAGGTCGTCGTCGTCGTCGGAGAACACGTTTCCGCCGCCCGATGACGCAATTGATAACAAGGGACAGGAGGAGGAGAGACATTCGCGTTCACGCCGGTGCTGAATGTGAGAGCGAGGGAGAGAGAGAGAGAGAGAGAGAGAGAGCGATTAGAGCACCGACGCAGATCGCGAAGATAGTGGCGGCGGATGAAGAATAACAATGTCTGGCCGCAGGCGCGCTCGTCACAATTGAACGAGTGCACGACGTCGTCCGAGAGCGCAACGTGACCTCGGAGATCGGCGGGGTCGTTGCAACGTGACGAACGGGGGGATACGTGCAATCCGCGAGACATCTCCGACGGGGATGCACTTTCCGGATTCTTTACGTCGCTAACGAACTCCAGGGCGGGTAAAAAATTGCAATATCAACCGAAAAAAATAGGAAGAAGGAGAAAGCCAGGGAAATCGACGTATACATTATCGCCGAACAGCGGCGACGGTTGTCCCACGGCGTCGTTTCATAGCGCGCGGTACAACCTCGCGAAGTGGCAACAGCGACGAAGGAAAAATTCAGCGTTATATAATTTGACTTGTCACGGTTCAATTGTCGCGACAACGCTCGACGAGCGCTCGCGTACCGAGCAATTTCGTAAGCCGCGATTGGCCGTTCCGCGGGCCCTCGTAAACATTGACCGGTTCCACAATCATTATCTCAATACGCGGAATGAACTCGTTAATTGGGGGCCGACGTTTCCCTCGATCGTGGATGTTGATAGCTTTAAGGATAAGGGAAATGGGGGAGGACACCGCGTTAGTCACGAGAATAACTCGCAAACACGCGTGCACAGGGTTTATTCCGCTCCTCCGCGACACGCGTCAACGTCGTGCACGGAGAAAACAGGTCCGTTGAATTAACGTGACAACCTGAACCGAAGTCCCACGTTGCAAAATACGAAATAGTTATAAAAAGGACGCGTATTAATTTTAATGAAATATTTTATTATATGATTATTAAAGACACAGTTATTATTACATTTTAATAATTGCAGGAAGAATTTTCAATCGTTCATTTAATATTATTACTCGAGTTTTTGCCGATTCACAGGAATATCTACGTATATTTTATTATTAATATAAACACAAGTTGCAACGATACTGTTAAATTGTTCAATATTATCATTTTGTAATTATACTGTTAAATAGTTCCGTATTATTTTGTACATAACGTATATGTAAGAAAGTATTGCTATAAAGTTATCACCATGAATAACCAATATATTAGAGCAACAGGTTCAGGGGACCCGGAGACTCGTTTTACGAGGCTTCGCTGAGCTCCTCTTTATAACCTACAAGTGGCATTCCGTGCGTTTTTTGCCATTTAGAGGCGCTAAGTAAGGACTCAGTTTCCCATATAAATTAAACCTACATTGATCCTCTAGAGCCTACAGATGTTAGAAAATTCGGATCGAAGGTAGGTTTTTCAAATCTCAACTCGGGAACGAACGGAGCGAAAATGCGTTTTCGCTGAGGAAAACCGAATCAGCGCTCTTCCGATGCTATAAATAGGATGTTATTTCCGTTTCCTCCCTCTTGGAGATTTAATGCAGAAGTAAGTAGATTTAACGTAGGACTAAAATTTTCCCTCGGCTTTGCGTTACATTAAATCAACGCAATCTTTCCTTCCGTGCACGATATTTCAAAGAACGAACATTTAATAGCGGCCGCTTTCACGTTTCGCGCTAGCACGTAGCGCGAATAATTAACGGCGCTATCAATCGCGCGCGGTGTTTAATTGCGCCGCCGGCGTTGTAAATCGTAACGTCGGGAGCGATTTACGGGGGCCGCGTCGCGCGCACCCGTGGAAAACACGTTTCTCGTGGACAGATGTCGCAAAAACGCGCGCCACGTGCGTGTTAAATAATGGTCCATTCTCCACGGATGAAAAGTCAAACGAGGCCGGGTCCTGTTTTCCGATCCCGAAGTAGGAAGAATCGCCTCGCGGGGTAGCCCCGGCGCGCATCGCCGCTCCGCTACGCGGAACAAAACCCGGAAAACCCGTCGACTTTCTTCGATCACAAAGGGAAGACGGACCTGGTGACCCGTGAGAAATTTCCCTTTTGGCCGCTCGGCATGGTGCGCCGGTCGTCGCTTTGTTCGACCGGCCGATTGATTTACGACACGATAACGCACCGGGCACTGTTAATGACCCGCGTTCGTCTCTCTTCTACTTGGCTTTTTCACAGGAAAAGTAGAAAAAAACGTCTCTCAAAAAGCGGCCGTCTCTTGCTCATGCAGCGATACATCCGGTGATATCGCGAACCAGATACGGCTGAGCTGGTGGCGATGCCTCATCGCTGGGGTGCTAATTGAACGGCAATCTAATCTCGTCGCGACTCGCAATCCGTGCGTCTGGCGGTTTGTTGAAGTGGTAAACAAGTTCAAGCATATCGAAATCAAGATCCACCTGTTGCTATCAACGAGCAAGCGGTTCTCAATGCCGAGCGGGCGAGCGCTCGCGTCTCGGCAACCGGTCGCGGAAGAATCCAAGATATTCAACTGCTCCTACCTATCGTTAAATTAATTTTTGTAAAAAAGGGGATAAATATAACGCCAGTTTTTTTCGTACATTCTTTATGTTCGACGAAGTTCCGCTCTTAATCTCGTCACGAGGGACCATCTCATTAATAGTTTTTCAGAGTCTACTATTTTATCCTCCTTTTTTTTTTTTAAGAACCCGAGTCGAAATTTTGGTCCTAAATTAAATCTACTTTGTTCTGTGTTGAGTCTTCAAGTTGAGAAAACGGAAATAGCTTCCTATTTGTAGCGTCAAAGGGAGTACAATAGAAGACCTTTGAACATAGTGCTAAATAGACTTAGTATAGAGCTGAAATTTCAACTCGGGAAAGCAGCCGAAGGAGCAATCGTGCGAAAACACGAACGTGTACGTGAGAGGAAACGAACATTCCCTGCGTTATCGCGCTGACTTCCCGATAGCACCGTTGAGGGGGTCTTCTTGCATTAATTGCCGCCGATAACTGAATAAACACAAATTTAACGACCGCTTCTTTCATGTCGCGAGCCAATATCGCGTTTACCGTTGTTATTATTACCCGTCATATGTTGCAAAAATATTTTTTTATCGCGACTCAATATCACGCATCTTTGCAAGGTGAACGTGACATGAAATATATATATGTACACAACTTGCGAATAAAAAGTACAATTAACGCATCATCTTTTACTTCACTCTCTTTCTTCCTCTTTTTCTCCCGGGAAGAGAGAAATGATTTCGAAAAATTAGTACAAATATCCTGATGATTCGCACGACAAGACAAAGGATGCTGAATGAAGTCGTATAATCTTCTCCGGTCCCAAAGAGGCTCGGGTTAGATGCCAGACGGTCGATAGCCGTCGAAAAAATGGAGGATTGACTGGGGAACACGAACGCTATTGTCCTGCAATCTTAACTTCGAGGATG